TAACAGGGGCATTCAGGGTGAAAGAAACTTTGCCCATTAGTTTCTGCCTCGTGCGGGAATCGAACCCGCGCCACAGAATTACGAGTCCTGCGCGCTATCCACCAGGCTACGAGGCCCCATACCTGCTCCAAGGTATTTGTGCTGTCCCTATATGTTTCACTGTTTTGGTTGTTCACTTTAAAAGTTAGAGGAACATTTGTTCATTTCACTGGTTGAAGAGCTCTGGGTTTTGTTATGGAGATAAGACCGCATTCAATGCTTTTAACAGCAAGTGAATTAAGTAGAGCTTGCAATCGAGTTTGTGTATTTGCAACAATACAAATGTCTGGACATAACAGATGACAGCTTCATCAGTTGGGCCCGGGGCGGCATCTGGCCTCGAGGGGGCCCCGGGGCGGCATCTGGCCTCGAGGGAGCCCGGGGCGGCATCTGGCCTCGAGGGGGCCCGGGGCGGTATCTGGCCTCGAGGGGGCCCAGGGCGGCATCTGGCCTCGAGGGGGCCCGGGGCGGTATCTGGCCTCGAGGGGGCCCGGGGCAGCATCTGGGCTCTAGGGGGCCCGGGGCGGCATTTGGGCTCTAGGGGGCCCGGGGCGGTATCTGGCCTCGAGGGGGCCCGGGGCGGTATTTGGCCTCGAGGGGGCCCGGGGCGGTACCTGGCCTCGAGGGGGCCCGGGGCGGTATTTGGCCTCGAGGGGGCCCGGGGCGGTACCTGGCCTCGAGGGGGTCCGGGGCGGTATCTGGCCTCGAGGGGGCCCGGGGCGGCATCTGGGCTCTAGGGGGCCCGGGGCGGCATTTGGGCTCTAGGGGGCCCGGGGCGGTACCTGGCCTCGAGGGGGCCCGGGGCGGTATTTGGCCTCGAGGGGGCCCGGGGCGGCATCTGGGCTCTAGGGGGCCCGGGGCGGCATCTGGCCTCGAGGGGGCCCAGGGCGGCATCTGGCCTCGAGGGGGCCCGGGGCGGTATCTGGCCTCGAGGGGGCCCGGGGCGGCATCTGGCCTCGAGGGGGCCCGGGGCGGTATCTGGCCTCGAGGGGGCCCGGGGCGGTATCTGGCCTCGAGGGGGCCCGGGGCGGTATCTGGCCTCGAGGGGGCCCGGGGCGGCAGCTGGCCTCGAGGGGGGCCCGGGGCGGCAGCTGGCCTCGAGGGGGCCCGGGGCGGCAGCTGGCCTCGAGGGGGCCCGGGGCGGCAGCTGGCCTCGAGGGAGCCCCGGGGCGGCAGCTGGCCTCCAGGGGGCCCGGGCGGCAGCTGGCCTCGAGGGGGCCCGGGGCGGCAGCTGGCCTCGAGGGAGCCCCGGGGCGGCAGCTGGCCTCGAGGGGGCCCGGGGCGGCAGCTGGCCTCGAGGGGGCCCGGGGCGGCAGCTGGCCTCGAGGGGGCCCGGGGCGGCAGCTGGCCTCGAGGGGGCCCGGGGCGGCATCTGGCCCGACTAATACCTACCGTCCCGATTATTTTGGTCACGAACCTCAACGGGTTTATCGTAAATCACTGGTAAGTGTCTTCCTGCCACGCCCACACGCCCTTGCCGCACCTCCACCACACCCGCCACACCCACCACCGCCACCACACCCACCCCCACTCCCACCACCAACAGCACCATCACCACTAATTACTAAGATTTCCAAAACGTCGAATCTGGCCTTAAAGTTAAGGACGGAGGTGACTTCCACAAGTTCTTCTTTGAGCGCCCTCGAGTAATTCCTTACATTTCTTCACCCCTCTTGCGTGTCCAACACTGGTGGTGGTGACCGGTATTATCACCCGCGGTCAAAACTCGCCGCGGTCAAAACTCACCGCGGTCAAAACTCACCGCGGTCAAAACTCACCGCGGTCAAAACTCCCCGCGGTCAAAACCCCACTGACATATACACCACCCACGCAGAATGGCGTATGGGCCCAAAATCATTATCGTTCATCTCTCCCATGCGAAGCCCACTGAGGTATACAAGCAATCTTCACGCCATACAGGACCTGCACTGTGGCAGGCATTTTGTACTTTATATAATACAGCTTCGAGACTTTGTAATGTGTAAGCCAGCAGGTGGGGGTCGTCGAGGCCAGAGAAATGTCTCATGAACAAGTCAAATAATAAATCCAGGAGCCGGAGGTAAATCATTAATTAAATCTTACTGGCTTCAAGGTAATTCATTATTAAATCTTGAATCATTATTCATCATGATGATTATATAAAGCACGTGAACACTACACAATTCTGTTTTCATAATGGTTGGGGATTGTCCAATTATCATTACTCTGTCGTTCCAGTCAACCAGTTCAATAATCGTCTCAAATCCCCTCACGTAATTTGCGGGGTAATTATATTCTCTATAAATTGACCCAAACCAGGTTATATTTTATGGTATATATTCTAATAATACCGTGAAGTGAGGCGACACCTTACTGGCGCTGTGGCTGATTTGTGCAGCACAGATATTGGTGGTGAAGCTGGTGCTGGTGCTGGTGGTGGTTGTGGTGGAGGTGGTGGTTGTGGTAGAGGTAGAGGTGGTGGTATTAGCGTTAGTGAAGGTTGTATATATCAATGGGGTTTTGGCTCGAGGGCGCTCAAAGAAGAACTTGTGAAAGCCTCCTCCATCCCTAACTTCAAGCCCTGATTCGACTAATGTTTTGAAAATCTTTAGTAGTTAAGTTATTACGTAAACAATGGTAGTAGGCTGGGCACAGGGAGCTAGACTTCACTTCCCCCTAGTCAGGCAAGCAATACTGTTCAACTTCGACAAGGAAGTTCAACGTCAAAATAGTTCAATTGCAATGCAACACGTGCACCAGCAAGGGTAGACTTCACTTCTTGTAAACACTGTTAGGTGAGTACTACCACCCACCACCACTACCACCACCACCACTACTCACCATCACCACTCCCCACCATCACCACCACCACTACCACTACCACCATCACTACCCACCACCACCACCACCACCACTACCCACTACCACCACTATTCACCACCACCACCACTACCCACCACTACCACCACTACCCACCACCATCACCACCACCACTACCCACCACCACCACTACCACCAACCAACAACCACCACCACCACTACTCACCACCACCACCATCACCACCACTACTTACCACCATCACCACCACTACCCACCACCACTACCCACCACCACCACCACTACCCACCACCATCACCACCACCACTACCCACCACCACCACTACCACCAACCAACAACCACCACCACCACTACCCACCACCATCACCACCACCACTACCCACCACCACCACTACCCCCAACCAACAACCACCACCACCACTACCCACCACCACCACCACCACCACCACTACCCACCACCACTACCCACCACCACCACCACTACCCACCACCATCACCACCACCACTACCACCAACCAACAACCACCACCACCACTACCCATCACCACCACCACCACCACTACCACCAACCAACAACCACCACCACCACTACCCACCACCATCACCACCACCACTACCCACCACCACCACTACCACCAACCAACAACCACCACCACAACTACCCACCACCATAAACACCGTCCATATTTACCGGCTCGCTAAAACTCCGTCGTCAGCATTAAGCGAGGCAACATGATGGAGTCATAGCTTCACAAGTGGCTCCATAATTTAATGAACCTCTCAATTTCCGAGAACTTGTAGGCGCCATTGAGGACTAAAATTCCTAAAATATACAATTTAAAAGTATATAGTTCCCTCGTGTTCATTTGCTTTCTGACCTTAAAAATGGTATTTGAGCATGCGAGTTCTTTAGTTTATTCAAACCTCATGTCATTAACACAGATGAGTAGTTCTGCATTAGTTTTAAGAACCAATATAGCAGTTCCCGTGGCGCAGTGGTAAGACACTCGCCCTGGGCTTCGCGAGCGATTTGGCTTGGGTTCGTATCCTGGCCGGGTAGGATTGACTGGGCCCCAGTCCTTATTTACATGTACGTCCTTATTCACCCAGCAGTGAATAGGTACCTGGTTATTGAATGATTTGGCGGGGTATGCCTGGTATTACCGGGGTATGCCTGGTATTACCGGGGTATGCCTGGTATTACCGGGGTATGCCTGGTATTACCGGGGTATGCCTGGTATTACCGGGGTATGCCTGGTATTACCGGGGTATGCCTGGTATTACCGGGGTATGCCTGGTATTACCGGGGTATGCCTGGTATTACCGGGGTATGCCTGGTATTACCGGGGTATGCCTGGTATTACCGGGGTATGCCTGGTATTCTTGTTATATGCCTAATACAACTTTGGGTTTTGCTCAGAACTTCAAAGTGCCCAAATACCCAGTTACAGTTGTAATCCACAAAATAAAGAGAAAATATTGGAGCCGGATGGTGGCATCGAACCCACATCCCTGAACTGAGACATATGCACTACCGACTGCACCATGAGGAGCTTTAAAGAATCTCAACTAGATTTACTCCTGGTCATGTCGGTACTGCTCGTGCCTGTGGAGTTCAGAGCCGCAGGTTCGATTCGATCATGCGGCTTCAATATTTCCCAGTTATGTTGCGGATTATATCTATAAAATGGATATTTGGGCAATATGAATCTCTATTGCCCCTAAAAAAATAATAGCCTAATACAACTGAAAGGTGTATTATATATACATCAGATATACTAGTAATATGCCCCAAAAAATCACATTATCACGAAGTTGTCAATGAGAAATTCAGTAGTAGTGAAGAGGATTCGAACCTGTGATCCCCAAACACACACCTGGTATATCCCCCCCTCCCCCCTTCCCCCTGTTTAAAAAAAAGGATTCGAACCTGTGATCCCCAAACACACACCTGGTATATCCCCCCTCCCCCCTTACCCCTGTTTAAAAAAAAAACTGGGGTTTATTTCTTGGAAAATTTCTCCCAAGATTCCCAGGAATCTTGGGAGAGAAATTTCTTGTGCACGATACACAATGTTGACTATTACGTGTGGTGTTCATTTCCTAATGCTATATGGTAAAGTGAAGGTGTTTGGTCCACAGGTGGAGTCTGAGTGGGTCTCTCCTTACACCAGCGCCCTGAGACACGGAGCCTCAGGGCTCTCTCTACACGTCCCTGGCGAACAGGTGAGGAATAGCTTGTAACGCTGTAGTAACAGGTGAGGATTAGCTTGTAACGCTGTAGTAACAGGTGAGGATTAGCTTGTAACGCTGTAGTAACAGGTGAGGATTAGCTTGTAACGCTGTAGTAACAGGTGAGGATTAGCTTGTAACGCTGTTGTAACAGGTGAGGATTAGCTTGTAACGCTGTAGTAACAGGTGAGGATTAGCTTGTAACGCTGTTGTAACAGGTGAGGATTAGCTTGTAACGCTGTTGTAACAGGTGAGGATTAGCTTGTAACGCTGTAGTAACAGGTGAGGATTAGCTTGTAACGCTGTTGTAACAGGTGAGGATTAGTTTGTAACGCTGTAGTAACAGGTGAGGATTAGCTTGTAACGCTGTAGTAACAGGTGAGGATTAGCTTGTAACTGTAGTAACAGGTGAGGATTAGCTTGTAACGCTGTAGTAACAGGTGAGGATTAGCTTGTAACGCTGTAGTAACAGGTGAGGATTAGCTTGTAACGCTGTTGTAACAGGTGAGGATTAGCTTGTAACGCTGTAGTAACAGGTGAGGATTAGCTTGTAACGCTGTAGTAACATGTGAGGATTAGCTTGTAACGCTGTTGTAACAGGTGAGGATTAGCTTGTAACGCTGTAGTAACAGCTGTGAGGATTAGCTTGTAACGCTGTAGTAACAGGTGAGGATTAGCTTGTAACGCTGTAGTAACAGGTGAGGATTAGCTTGTAACGCTGTAGTAACAGGTGAGGATTAGCTTGTAACTCTGTAGTAACAGGTGAGGATTAGCTTGTAACGCTGTAGTAACAGGTGAGGATTAGCTTGTAACGCTGTAGTAACAGGTGAGGATTAGCTTGTAACGCTGTTGTAACAGGTGAGGATTAGTTTGTAACACCTCCCAAGGTGTTAACTACCAGTTAAGGTGTAACACCAGCTCCTGACTTACCATTCTCCTAACTTACCATTCTCCTAACTTACCATTTTCCTGACTTACCATTCTCCTAACTTACCATTTTCCTGACTTACCATTTTCCTGACTTACCATTCTCCTAACTTACCATTTTCCTGACTTACCATTCTCCTAACTTACCATTTTCCTGACTTACCATTTTCCTGACTTACCATTCTCCTAACTTACCATTTTCCTGACTTACCATTCTCCTAACTTACCATTCTCCTAACTTACCATTCTCCTAACTTACCATTTTCCTGACTTACCATTCTCCTAACTTACCATTTTCCTGACTTACCATTCTCCTGACTTACCATTCTCCTAACTTACCATTTTCCTGACTTACCATTCTCCTAACTTACCATTCTCCTAACTTACCATTCTCCTAACTTACCATTCTCCTAACTTACCATTCTGACTTACCATTCTCCTAACTTACCATTCTGACTTACCATTCTCCTAACTTACCATTCTGACTTACCATTCTCCTAACTTACCATTCTCCCGTCTTCTCGACTCGTCTCCACAACACTGAATAAATTCCCACTCTCCTCCTCTCAGGCCGAGGGAGCCTCGAACGCCGCCCCGGCTTAAAAACAGCCAATAGAACCGAGTTCTCAAAATGCCTCGGGGCCTACACTCCAATTAGAGAGCAGTGCCACTTAAGTTTCCATGGAAACGAGTTGGGATGACTTGGGGGGGAGAGGGGTGATTGGCAATTATTAAACACAATAGGCCTTCCTGGAGGCCTAAATTACTCTCTCACTTTTACGGGTGAGGGAGTGCAGGCCTATACCTACGCCCCTACGTCAAGAGTGCCGGCTCCTACAACAAGAGTGCCAGCATCTACAACAAGAGTGCGAGCACCTATAACACACGCGGCGAATGTTCCGCAAAAAACCGCGTCTATGTACTTGTAATCATATCGCAGCCCATATATATATAGACCTAAGCTATACGAGCTATAGGCCTAAGCCACCGTTGCTCATATTCGCCTGTGGCCCTGGAGGCGGTTCTCTCTCTGTGTCACAAGTAGAAACGTTCGAATCCCAAGCAAATCCTTTAACCTGTTGAGGCCGATGCATAGAAAACGTCAATATTATGGCGTTTTAATCATTTGTAACGCATCGAATTTTCAACGGAGTGATCGAGTCCATAGGTTGAAAGGACGGGGGTATATGGCTCCTCCGTCAAGGCCGCCCCCTTCGTTATCTTGCTTCCGCTAATATGGTTAAGTGGCCCTTAAGTGGTCCTTAAGTGGCCCATTCTCCCATAGCTTCCCTTAATAGACCTGGCCCTAGAACCACGCCCGTAATTCCAGCTCATACAACTCCTACACACACACACACACAGCATGGAGCCCGTACCTAGTCAAGCACAAGGCGAAGCTTGAAAAAGTTCAGAGATATGCTACTAGGCTAGTCCCAGAACTAAGAGGCATGAGTTACGAAGAAAGGCTGCGAGAAATGCACCTCACGACACTTAGAAGATAGAAGAGCAAGGGGAAGACATGATCACTACTTACAAAATTCTCAGAGGAATTGACAGGGGTAGATAAAGATAAACTGTTTAACACTGGTGGTACGCGAACAAGGGGACACAGGTGGAAACTGAGTACCCACATGAACCACAGGGACGTTAGAAGGAACTTTTTCAGTGTCAGAGTAGTTAACGGATGGAATGCATTAGGCAGTGATGTGGTGGAGGCTGACTCCATACACAGTTTCAAATGTAGATATGAAGTAGGCTCAGAAACCTGTTCACCAGTTGATTGACGGTTGAGAGGCGGGACCAAAGAGCTCAACCCTCGCAAGCATAACTAGGTGAGTACACATACACACACACACACACACACACACACACACACACACACACACACACACACACACACACACACACACACACACACACACACACACACACACACCTTGCCACCTCTCGGGCCACAGAACTTAACGATTTATCTCCTCAACTTTGAGCACCACATCCCGCCAGCGAGAGATTCTGTAACAGGAGTCGGATGTGCTCAGGTGGCGGCGTTGGTCCTGTGGGCCCGTAACTGTGTTAACGTCAGCACCACGAGCAGGATGGAGGAGACTGCTCCCTTGCTTCCTTGCTCCCTTGCTTCCTTGCTCCCTTGCTTCCTTGCTCTCTTGCGTCCTTGCTCTCTTGCTCCCTCGCTTCTCCAGCTCAGTAAGAACACTCGTGACACAATTTTATATTATTTTTGTTATTAATATCTGCATTTACACAACTGTTCTACACTATATAAAGCGCAACTATATGACGTCTGTGTCAAGAGGTAGCTTTATGACACTTATGAACCCCCCTCTGTTGACTCCGGGGGTTCACTGTCTTCACTATTGACACCCTAAGCAACTCAACCTGTCAACGCCAGTGTCCTAAAAACCGTCGATATTGCGGTGTGTTCGTATTCACTAATGCCCGCAATTCTGACATGTTTGGTCGTTAAAAATGCGATGAGGTGAGAAGACAGGTTACAACTGGACTGTCCGCTGATGAAACAGTATTTTTTATGAACAAATCCACAAGGGCCGTGACGAGGATTCGAACTCTTTTAACCATGTCGTAGCTCAGTCGATTAAGGCAGCGTCTGGGATGCTCCCGGACGCAGGTTCGAATCCTCATCACGGCCCTTGTGGATTTGTTCATTTGATGCATCACGTTATTGTGATATATGTGTGTAGTATTTTTCAGACGGGAATGCGAGCCTCTACTGTCAGGATACTCAGACTTAATTCCCGATACATTTTTAAAATGTTATCATAGACCCCCCTTGTGTTTTTTTTTTAAGGGCTCTTTTGTTTTTAGATAATTGTTTTATGGGGTGTATTGTACAGCCACACCCTGGGAGGTGTAGTTAGTGGAGTGTACAGCTACGGAGTGGGTAAGCGCTTGACGAATATAAGCATTGAGAACACTGGCTTTGTATATATATATATATATATATATATATATATATATATATATATATAAGGCCCGATATATATATATATATATATATATATATATAGAGAAAAGGTATATTATTAGGCAAATCGGCCTTGATATATATATATATATACATATATATATATATATATATATATATATATATATATATATATATATATATATATATATATATATATATATATATGTCGTACCTAATAGCCAGAACGCACTTCTCAGCCTACTATGCAGAGCCCAATTTGCCTAATAAGCCAAGTTTTCATGAATTAATGTTTTTTCGACGACCTAACCTACCTAACCTAACCTAACCTACCCTTTTCGGTTACCTAACCCAACCTAACCTATAAAGATAGGATAGGTTAGGTTAGGAAGGGTTGGTTAGGTTCGGTCATATATCTACGTTAATTTTAACTACAATAAAACAAAATTGACCTCATACATAATGAAATGGGTAGCTTTATCATTTCATAAGAAAAAAATTGAGAAAATATATTAATTCAGGAAAACTTGGCTTATTAGGCAAATCGGGCCTTGCAAAGTAGGCTGAGAAGTGCGTTCTGGCTACTAGGTACGACATATATATATATATATATATATATATATATATATATATATATATATATATATATATATATATATATTATATATATATATATATATATATATATATATATATATATATATATATATATATATATATATATATATATAAACATATGTCGTACCTAGAGCTTAGTAGATAACATATGATTCATACAGCCATGACCAGGTGTGGCCAAGTGGCCAGGTGTATGAAGTTTGTATAAGCTAAAACAACATAGTGTGGCTGCCAATGATGGTTTACTCGTCATAATATGTGTAAAACACCCGTAAGCCATCAATAATTACTGTCAAATACGATGACACCATCTGTAAATACTTATAAAATGTCTATATTTTTTTAAAAAATACATGTATAACATTTCTATCTGGTAAAATCGCTATGGAACATATGTAATACATGTAAAACACATGTAAAACATCTGGAACATATTTAAAATACCTGTAAAACATGATCATCGTAATTATAATGAGAAACATAGCAA